ACTTAAAATTAGTCTGAACCGTACTAAAATAAAAATATAAATAAGACATAACGATGAAAAATTTCATGCCTCAACGACCAATATTTTTTGAATCATCACAGTAACACTAAAATTCTTAAAGGATGGAGATAGATATATTTGTTCAAATACCCAAAATAATCAAACATTTAAGTAAAATCGACTGTTTTGAAAATACAATGCATTTTTAACTGCTCAACAAGAAGAACTTATCAAAAAACCTTGTATAACAGTTTAAAACATTATAAAATAAAAAAAAACTTTAACAATTATTAGCAATGCTATATAAATGCTATAAATAGCTTAAAATTAGTATAAATATTTTGAAAATGGCACTATGTATAGAAAATTTAAATTTAAATAACAATAGAAGGTTTCAACAATAAATATTTTTCAAATTTTAATTTTGAATATGATATTATTAATTATTAGTTATTAGAATCAGGAAGTTTCTAACATCGTTGTTTCACATGACGCACCTATCATACGTGTGTGCGGCCAATGGAAACCAAAATGTTTTTATAATTAATACTATATGATAAAATATTTTTATGAATGTACCTAAACCAAATCCTCCTTAATTGCGTTAAAAGCGAAACCTGGGCGAAAACCAAAATTTTATAGTTTTGTTAGACAACAGATCAGTTCTTAACAACTGTAGTAGTATTAATTAAAAACATACTTAAAAATAATGAATGCTAAAAAGTATAAATCTTAATAGTAGTATAGTACCTACATAGTCAGAAAATCTTGATATCCAACACTTTTCTTTAAATTTTATTAACGTCTGTGCATCATTGTATCATATTTTATAATGATTTAAGAATCTTTAAAATTTTAACATACATATAGGTACCTATAAGTATTATTTATACCTGTATAATAATATATATCACATACCTTATATATTTTCCATACTGTTCTATATATAATATTCATTTATTAATTTAAATTATATAGTTATTTTAAAATGCAAATAATATTGATAGGAAATCATGTTTTMAACTAAAGTATAGGTATATTATCATTATTATATAGTTCCAGGATATTATACACTAAATCGTATGAATTATTTATAATAATATTTCTTCATGCTATAAGCTATTATAGAGTACCTATATGGGTTAATATAATACTGCAGCCATTTAATATCGGAATTAAGGGTAGATCGCGTAGGTACAATTTAGCCTTTTGGAACAGCATTGTGAATATTTTTTGAGTAGCCATACCAAAAAAAATCTCTTAAAGGTATTTAAAGATACGGTTTCGTACTAAATAGACCTCAACGTTGTCATATTTATCATTATATAATTTTCAAAATAACGTCAAATTAAATATTTTAATCAGCTAATTAAAAAAAAAAAGATTACCATTAAAATATATTTTTTAATATTAAGCATAAATATATTTTAATTGAAATATGAATAAGTTTTAAACCAAATAGAGCCATTTTTCTATGGATGTCGCTTCTTAAGATTGAACACATTTTTGAATCTATTGCTTCTATCTACTTGCGTSATGTTAACGAATGAACACTATATGTACGTAATTGTTTATTGTATACATTTTGTGGACGCTTGCTGGACAGTTTGTTGATTTATAAATTTATTTTATTTTGCTAGTTGTATACAATCGTAAAATTCGTATAATTTGGCAACATTGCAGAAAAATAAATAAATTTTACGTAGGTATACGAAATAACGTGTTATTTTAATGGTAAAGACGATGAGCACAGTATATATATTATCGGACTGGAGTCTCTTCAATAAGTAAATAAAAACGAACATTTTCTCGTCATTTTCATCAAATAAATAAATTTAAAAAAAATCTAGTTTTGCTTTTAAATGTTTATTTTGTTTGCACCTACAACCATTTAAGGAGGCATAGCTTAAAATTGCATCCAGTCTTTTCATTCTCTTACAAACATTCTATCTTCAGATGCCTGGGCCTTTCTTAATCTTATAATAATATTACAACATAACATCATGTATGATATCAGAAGTTTACACGCGAATTTTAATATACATCAATGATGTTAATTGTAGGTAATGATTTCAGACATTTTTTATTTTTATTTTTTATGACTCTATAGAAAAAATCCAAACTGCAAAAATCCGACGAGAATAAGCAGCGAGTTACCGAGCTCAAAGTCGCTGTCTACGGTCTTGTACAAGGCGGCGGCGGCAGTCATGCCCTGCATCATCATGATGTTGTCGAAGCGTCGCAATGCGGGGATTGCCATCGCGATGATTGTGATCTGAGGCGCCACCGCTAATCACTGACATTATCGTGCCGACGGCGGCGGTCGCAGAACGCGTACTGCGGTGGCATCTGATGCTCACCGACCGGCGGTTGACCGTGCATTTTTGTCGTCGCGATATCCCGGCAAACAGCGGTAGGCGGACGGCGTGTCGGAAGGTTGCAACTGCGGCGATGGTGGTGGACGACGACGCACGTCGCTTCACAGCAGCGTTCGAGACGCGACAACCGCGATAGCGAAGACGACGCGGCACTGGCGTTTTGATCGTTATGCCGCGTGCCGGTGCACCGCTGCTCGAGAGTTTGGCGACTGTTCAGCTGTTCTGCCCGTCATTTTGTATAATATTTTTAATGGGAGAAGTATTTGCGTTGTCTCAGGAAAACAGCTTTTCTTCTCGTCCTGGAAGAGATTGGTCGTTTTCTTGTCCGACAATCAATTGGTGCGCGCGACCGTGCACGTTTGAAACAAACGGACGAGAGTTGCGGCGGCGACGACGACGACGACGACAACGATGCGGACAACCCGAGCGCGGCCCATTCACTGATTGGAGAAAAGATCTGCCGACGCCGCCACCGCCGCCGCGCGGTCACCCAGTTTTATTGAAGTCGTCGTCGTCGTCGGCGGCGGCGGCAGCGGCAGCGGCAGCATGCATCCGGCAGCCCCTACTATATAGTGTAGCGTTCCCGCCGCCCCTACCCGCGGTGCAAACCTTTTGACTGTTCATTAAAAAAAAAAAACCCAACCGACCGACGCAAACCCGCTCTGCTTCATTCCATTCAGTACGAATAATGCGATCGCTTATAATAATACAAATGCGCGAATTATAATAATATTATGTGTGTATACTACACAAACGACAAATGGCTAAAATATATTATTAATTATTGTTTTATACGTTAATAATATTATAGTTTTGTCGGTCAGCCGTGAYTGATTATTAATATACCTAATAAAATAATATATACTCGTAATAATTATGATACAAATACGGTGATACGCGTTACTATTTACTCTAATGCACRTGAGCTTTTCTTCTATTTCTCCTACCGATTTCTTATGCAGTTTTCGGACCAGATTAATGTATGTTAATACTTATGAAAATATTAAAGGCAGTTCTAGAGCATGTTATCAGGGCCTCAAAAGGACTATTTTTTGGTTTAGATTCCTGGAGTGCAAATAAATAAGATATACTTTTTTTTTAAACAATTATTATAATATTTAAATGTAACTATAACTATTATTACTATAATTTGTTGTATGTATGCACCTAACCTAACCTATACTTATTTATTATTTGGTTTTTATTTATTTTTAAAGGATTTAGTTTCAATTCAATGAAAATGTTATCATATAATATTTATTATTTTTCAATGTACCTACAAAGAGATAAATATGAAACCAGATGATAAATTGTTACGCAATAATTCACCCATTAATTCATGTGGCCACAAAGATTATAATTTATAATGCTTCGAACCATTAGTAGTGAATAACTTTTCTTATTAGTTGGGAATACTCAATATTTTTTAAATCTTTAATCATAGATTACGGGTTTTAATCCCGGTCCAAATTCATATTTTGTACTTAATTAATTCATATACATAGTATATTAGTATAAAGTACATAGTTATATATATATATATATAATATATATTGATGCGTATACTAATGCATATAATACAATAAGTGGTCAATGCTCAGTACTCAGTAGGTTGTAGGTATAAAATTTACTTATACAGCTATACACAGATGTATAAATTAGTAAAACAAATATTTTTTTTGTTAATTATTATGTTCCGAACAGTACTTTATCGAAGTACACATGCGTGTAATGTGAGTATGAGACGGATAAACTTGACTAGAATTTTCCAAATTTACTCAATAATGAAACATTAATACAGTAAATTAACGTAATGGATATAAAGGCATTTAGAAACTACTTATTCCCTTATGGAACTACATATGAATAATGAAGATGATTTAGTTCATATATTATCTTGACAAGCCAGTAACCCGGCGAATAATCCTAGAGMAACAAGCGGCATCACACGAATCGTAGATATGACACGATGTATTATCAGACCAAAAGTAATTAAGACTCGTTTTGTCACTCAACTACTTATACATTTTCACGGATGTAAAAAWAAAACAATGATACGAGAACACAGGCGTGAAATAACTATTTTTCTTCTTCAGAAACCATGACTGTTTCTTAAGACGGACCATTGAAAAACCAGCTAAACGTGAGTATATACAGTAACTAGTATGATCAGGGGTCACCTCGTCCATGCTTACCGCGGTCAGACTGCGCAGGTTTAGAACGGATTTCACCAAATTATGTTTAAATGTAATTGAGAATATTAGACGATTATTTGTTACAAAAAACGATAAAACTTCATAAGAATATCATAAAAACAAAGACCCACCTAATTAAATATTAAATTGTAATTAACTGTTTAAAAAAAATATTTTTATACATATAGAATAATAGATATATTAGTTACCAATCAATGTAAAAATAATTGGGACAATGAACATAATATATAACATATTTAATACTATTTACGTTAATTTTTTTCATACCCTCTATTCTTATCAATTAATAAACTTTCAATTAAATGTTAACCTTTTAGAAATKATAAATAAAATAAGCCTGCATAATATTTATCATATTAATAAATTATAGGACTGATAAATTTTTCACACTAAAAATCATACTCACTTGAAGTATAACCATATTCATCCTCTGATTCTGGATCAGCATCAATTTCTACTTGTGATCTTTTAACATTACCAGCACTAGACCGCATTATCTAAATATAAATTTAAATTTTATACTGTATTAGCTATAATATTCAAATTATACTTGGAATGGTTTTTTTTTTTTTTTTTTAAATAATAGGAGATAATCCGAGATATCACTATTTCAATAGGATACCTATATCATAGTATACGTAACTACGCAAGAGTTTTAGTCCATATAAAAGTAAAAATTTATCTTCATCACACAAAAAATTGAAAACCATTGCAATACAAATGATTCTGAGCCATTATACCTCAAAATCGTCAACATTTTTTACTATATACAAATTTAATAAATATTTTACTTATATAAAGTAAAATGAAATAATAAATAATACTGAAAATAGGTACAAATATAGAATATGATCTAATTAAATTGACAAATATTTTCCGAAYAAAATTTAAGTAACGTAGGTACCTATACTAAATTAACAAAATGTATTCATCGTCTTACTTCTTGTCCAGAATGAATTCTAATACGGCCTTCGTTATCTCTATTATCATCATCATCTTCTTCACTATCTTCACTTTTATTAGATTTGATGGATTTTTTACGGTCGAATGAACTCATAGCTTTGATTTGAGCTAATGAATTCTTACGAATCCGAAAATTATCTTCATTAGCATTGTCTTCACTTTTCTGTTGCCAACTTGAAATCCTCTAAAACATAAAGATAAATAATAATTTTATGTCTTAAAATAAAATGTTTTTTCTCTTTACATGTTTTACACTATTAACAGGTTTCATGGGCTCTTGTGATACTTTAAACGAATCTCCAATAACAGCAGATGATTTTGACTGTTCATATTGATCTTCGGACTAGAGTGAATATGAATAAATTATTTAACCTAAAATATATTTTAAGAACTTACCCAACATACAAGTGATTGTACAAGGAAAATCACTGGGTTACCAGCTGAACGAATTACTGCAACAGCTTCCTCATGATTAGCGTGTCGAACATCAGTCCCATTAACTTCTAATATTCTATCACCTGTCTATTGATTTCACAAGTATAATGTATAAATATCAATCATAATACACTAAAATGTAACAGAATATTTACTTTTAATTGACCATCTTGACCAGCAGGACTTTGAGGAAGTACATTTTTTATAAATATACCTGATATAGCTGCGCTATTATTTGTATTAGTGCTGTTGAAAAAATCAACCTAAAAAATACAACCATCATTAAAAACTTTTTTAATGTTTGATGTATATAACTAACCTTTCCTCCAACAATACTAATTCCTAAACTCTCATTTGGTTCTCTCCAAACTGTAACTTCTCGTTGAGGACCCCAACGTTTAGCCAATAAGGAAGCTGCTGATTGTTGTCTAGATATAGTCATGGTGAATACACTTCCTTCACTTCTATCTAAGCCGATTCCGGTACTTGGAAACCGATAAATACGTGTTGGAGGACCTTCAAAAGTTCCRAATTCAGCACTTCCCAAACGCAATACATTTTTGTCTAAAGATGTATAAGCATCCACTTCAGTGAGTCTTTCTAACTCTTCAGTTTTAACTTTTAATTGATGTTCGATTTCATCTTCATTTAAATTTGATGTTATAGATATACTTTGAGTAAACTCTGACAATCTATCAGTTTCTTCACGTAATTTCTCATCTAACTTCTTAATAAATTGACTGCTAGTAAACTTTGCGCATACATATTTGTCGCTAGTTTTGAATATCTTATAATAATTGATAACGTTTTCAAAACTCACATCATTTATTGGTTCAGTTTCATTCCAACTCTTTGTTCGTTGAACTGAATGACATTTTGTGCACAAAACACATTCGGATTTAGACTTTGTTGATATGGCCAACTGTAAACATGGGTCGTTAGACTTTGATCTAGAAACTTTAGAGTGAGACTTCTTATTAAGTAAACGATCTTCAGTTTCATGTGGCTCAACAAAAGGTGATCTGTTAATATAACATTTAATATAATACATCAATTATATGAATGTTAAATAAAATTAAAATATACTWTATAATATGATAATTGGTTTACACAAGATTATACCATCTACGGCTTGTAGAATATTAGTACCACGTGAAAAAATAATTAAACATGCGATTTCTCAAACAGAAATTTTACATTTTAAATAGGTATTAGGTATAAACATAATATCTATACTATATATGTAAGTCATATCCGTCTTACATATGAGTAATATAACAAACTGACGCTCAGTAAATCACATTTAGCTTCTTTAGTTTAAAAATGAGAGTGAATCGACCTATAATGAAACTTGATGGTTACAAAATTATCTTTGCGTACTTGGGTTTTTTACGATCACTCAGTTTTTTAGTGAGTTATAAGCATTTTTAATTTACGCTATATTATATTATAGGTACTCAAAACTTACTAAAAAATTGAATTATCGTAAAAAACTCACATACAAACACAGATAATGACATCATGTTCTTACCACCAAGTTTCATAATAGGTCGATTTACTCTAACGTTTTAACTAACGAAGCTCAACGAGATCTGTTGAGCGTAAATTTGCTTTGTTACGCACTTGTAAGACGGAGACAAAAAAGCCCGTGCGTCCTCTTAAACTACAGTATGGGTAATATTAAATAAGTAGGACTTATACAAAAAAAAAAAAGTTACCTAATAAAATATTTTTATGTTTAGAATTTATGTTAAAATTTAAATGATTGAAATATTTTATAATTTTTCTATTATAATAATTCCAATACAAAGCAAATAATCAGCGAATTGAGTATCTACAATCTACATAATATTATTACTTCCAACAAAAACCGATTTAAATAAGCAACKGGCATATTATAATTGTCTCGTTGACAGCTATAATTATAGATAGATCTAGATTAGAATCTAGATTAGATATACGTATTTCATATTAGACAGCCCCCGTGTTATTAACGCATACTAAATTTTACGTTCAAAAGAATCTGTTTTACTCTGATATTTTAGATTTTAAGCGAAGCGATGAATGTATTGATTTTACAAAGATACACTTTTTATTTATTTATTTTTGTGTTAGTAAACACTTATAGTAGAAAAAAAATGATAGAATTTGCAATATGGCCAATAGCTGCAGGTGACAATTTAGTATTTATATTAACTATATAGCATAGTATATAGTACCTATTTTTAACYATACAGCCAGTAGTTACAAATATTACAATGAATTCCGCGTTATCGGATTATTATTGGTACTGCAGGGTGTGTGAAACATTAAAATTAGCCTCTACAAAAAAAGTGATTTCTGACGTTATAGACGATATTTTAAAATTTAAAACTGTTCATATTGTTAATATCTTTAATTTATCCAATAATGTTAAAAATTACAGATTAAAATAGATTCTTCTGAATGTAAAATGTGTTAGGAATTACTTCGGTAGTGCGTTACACGTACAACACATGTGGGTGTAACAATCACATAAAAATATTTAAAAATTTMAAATAAACGAATGATAATTTCAAAACAAAACCCCTCTTCGCAAAAGTACTTAATTTCTTATTGGTTACAATAGGCTTCAAGTTTCAATCAGAAAAATACGTAGGTACATAATAATATGTTGAATTATACTTGTGACTAGTATGTCTCAGTGTAGTATGCTACTATTAATCAATTAGTTAATCACAGAATAAGTTAATAGGAAAGTCAACTATAATGATGGTAATATAGAGATAAAGCATTATATTTGTTTATCTTATATAAAATTAAATAATTTTATAACTAATTAAAAACAAGCACAAAAACTATCATAATGTTGTAAAACAATACATTCGACATAATTTAATATAGTCACGCTAAAAGTTATATATCTAATTACCTTTACCAAATACCAATAAACTATATTATATAATAACCAATAGATTAATATAATAAATAGGTAATAATACATAAAGTTTTTACAGTGAACCTGTATATTTATATATAAAATATATAAATATTATATAGAATCTATGCATTATATAAAATAAATCGAACATATTATGTATACCTTTACGGACATTTGGCATTTCAGACGAAGTTAAACAGCCTACGGTAAAATGACTGGAAGTGTTTTAGCTGACAAGACAAAAAGTCGAAATAAATATAAATGTTCAAATCCATAAAATTTTCCTCTAAGAAATGATGCACCTAAATTAATTATAGAGGTACCTCGTCATTGAATAAGACATTATTGAGATGAATATGTTAATAATTTGAATTGAATGATAAATTATTGAAAAACGACTTTGAATGATAAAGATAAGTATATCAAAAATTTAATTTATATCAAATTTCAATAAGTCTATTATAAGGTAGGACTTTAAATTTTATTATATCTATATTATTATAATTATTTTSTTAATTTGGTGGGTAAAATTAAATGCAAAACATAGCATATAATTCAATTTTGACGTACCATACAATAGTATTTTGGACAGGCTAGTGATATAAATAGCTGAAGATTAATATAAACAACATTCAATCAAGCAAAATATTTTTAAAAAACTTCTGTGTGTATAAAATAATAATTTATTTAATTTTAAAAAGTTTAAAGTCTCTACAATTAATATATTTGGTACACATATTTATTACAGCCAGTAACGTAGTGTGAAACTTGATAGTCATTGGATTTAAATAGAAGGTGGAGGTCCCCTTAAACACGGAAATTAAATTATTAAATAGTGACGCTAGAAGCTAATAAAAAGTAGTAGGTATGTTATCAGATATATTTCCTTTTAACAGAAAATTGAAGAATCGTGGACATAGTGCAGTAAAAAAAATATCTAGAAGCATGCTAAATTTGTTCGAAATTTAATGAATTAAAAACTATATATTATATATTAATTTTTAGTACATTTATATTTTGTTGATTTGCTTTAACAATAATATATAGGTATAACATCTATAATAAAAAAAATTATATACATAATAATATAATTATTGTTTTACTACTTTAACATATATTTTTTTGTATCTATTTTTATTATGAGTCATAATAAAAATAGGTACTGTGGGTGTGGACATATCTTGAGAGCCCCGGGCCCCGATCTAAATACACCACAGTTTACACCCCAATAAATAATTAAACTGTACGCGGGAAAGTTCTGACTACCTATGTATTCGATAAATTAAAATTGCTATAAAAAAAAACACCTTGTATGAAGAACCTTGTTAATTTTCAATTTTTCATCTAAGAAAAAGTTCCCAATTCTAAAATCATAAACATCAATAAATAGTTCAAAAAAATTTTAAATTATATTATGTCTATTTAGAGGATGTCAGTGTATTTCCTTTATTTGGCCCACACGCAACATAGAAAATGTATGTTTAGCAAACCAACCCTGTGTTGTTACTTTTAATATTARAGTAAATATTAAATTAAGCTATTGTCAAACTAATACCGATAGTTGTGTTCCTACTTTGACTTTTTTACGATAATCTAATTTTCATAACATTTAGAAGTATTTTTCATGATAAAATAACCGAAGTAAGGACATACCTTATTTTTTTTACTAAAAATTCAATTGTAGTCTAATTCACTCTAATTTTTAAAGTTATAACATAGGGTTAGGTATTTTAAATGCAAATTTKCTACCATGTTACACGCTAACACGTCGATCGGAGAGAGAAAATAAACAGTGGGCTGAGTCCCGACATCTTATTAAATGATGATTTAAATATTTGGAGGAAATTTCAAGTCTACGCGCGGTTATTTCTTTTGAATTACAAGAAAAAAGATGAAATCAACTTTTCCAAAACTATTAGTACGTAATTATTATCATTTTGCCGATATAAAATCTCTATTAGTTTTCCCCAAATGTGAAGAGAATAATAATATAAAATAATAAAATTCCTTACCTTTTAATAACTTTAAGAATAACTACGCTCAAAATTGAAAATATGAGGAAATTTACTGCTCCAGAACGTGAATAGACAAAACAAATGAATACAAATAAAAAGCAGATAAGTARATGACGCTCTGTTGTTCATTAGTTGTCTATAGTCACTGTAATGAATGTGTTAAATTTGAATTCAATAATATAAATCAATGTAAATGAAAACCCATTTTGAGCGAAGATCGTCTGTCAGCTTATAATATTACTAAGTAGATATATTTTATAATATAATTGTGATTAAAGTAAATTATTTTAAAATATTATAGACATTATAGGTATTAGTATTATGGTAAGATAAATTCAATTTGTCGAAAAAAAATGTATTTGAAAATGTCATCGTGTATATAAAATCTAATAATATATTTACTATTTAGAAGTTTCAAGTACCTACTCACGAATAATATTTTTAAATTACAAAAAATATCTTAAATCATTATCCATGGTTTAGTTTATAATTTCATCCAAATTTAAACTCTAAATACTAAATAAAAATAACCGTGTTTATACATTTTTTACATTTTATGCTTACGGAATTAACCAATTATTTTAAACTCACGAGGAATTTTATATTAAATTTTCAAATCTTAGATATAAAAATTTAAAAAATGTTATGAAGAATTTGSAAATTTTCGGGATTTTTACTCAAACTATAGAGGCTCATAAAAAAATATTGTGAATTTACACTTAGCTTCTTTTTTTTTACTTCCACTTGCAGCAACTTACGAGGAACCTAATAAAACAGTTTCAAGTTTTTTGATAGAGCGAAAATTTTTGTATAACATTAATTAAAAGAAAACTAATAAAATTCGATGATTCATATATCAATAAATAGTTCAACGTAAATCACAATATTTTGTGTTTAACGTTATGATCCATAGAAAATGGTTGTAAATTGAAAAGGTTGTGTATTCACAGTATTTTTTTAAAGAATTACACGGTTATAACAAAAACAAAAATCGATTTTATCGAAAACCAATTTTGCGTAAAAATTACTGTTTTCCTTATATTGAGAATTTTTAATTTTGACCTCCCAAATACATGAAAAAAAATAAATACTAGATTTCCTTTCTCATCGGAAAAGAAACTGACGTTGAAAATCAAAGACTTATTTCAGCTAATTATCGTGTACACAGACATACAAAAAAATACACACTCACACATTATTAATATATAATATCAACGCTCCACTCAGAATCTAAAATAATTTACATTGTTTGAAATATTTAGATTTTAGATCGTCAAAGTTGAAATTTTAAATTTAATATAAACATAAGAAATTGTAATTTTACGTTCAGAGTCATGGGGTCAATGTATTAGTTTGAAAACCATAATTTTATTTTAGTCGTATATAACAGAACATTTAAGTGTATAATTTAAAAATAAACACGGGTAGTAGTAATCATTAGGCGTGAATCACATTTTATAATTATTAATTAAAAATCGCAACCAAAAAACGAAATATAATTTAAATTATGTGAAAAAATCAATTAAGTTGATCTGAAAAATACTAATCATTGCCCTATATTACATAAACCATAATACATATTTATATAAATAAGGTTTCATTGCTTTAATAATCACGCTAAGGCAATTTTACATATTACTATTTACTATATAATTTATATTTTATTAATGTAACTTATAAAAAAAAACTTTGATGCATACCTATACATTTAATACATACAATTAGATTGTATTTTATATTACTGCACATGAATATAATATGATACATGTCTAAAAATATATCAATAATAATTATTAAAAGTATAAACAATTTTAATTAATAGTTCTTAAACATAGTAACAAATACATAATTATTTTTAAATCATGCGCTTAAATTTGTTTACGACATAAATAATAGACTTGAAAATCGATTCTAGTTCAACTTTCCAGTAGATGCCATTTTTTTAATTCGATTATAATTTTTCTATACGTTAGAAAAATAAACAAAATATACAAAAATGTATAAAAAATATCAACTACCGTCTTTTGGACTTGTCGTACCTATTAAGTTTCCATTGGCTAAGTTATTAATTCTTGATTYAATTTCAAGTTTGTATTTTATACTCAAAATGTAAAATAATTAATCAGTTAGATATATGTAACACTAATATTATATTATGCTCTCATTAATTCTAAAATTGTACACCGACAACTGGTAGTAATTTAGATTCTAAGCCGAGCGACAAATAAATTGATCTTTCAATGATATATAATATATTKATTTTTTATAAATATACGATATATAGTAAAAAAATGTTTCAATGTTTAATTTTGACTTTGAGGTTGGTTTGTAATAAAAATGAATATGATTAGTACTTTTACGAAATAAAAATTGAAAATTCTCAGTTATTTTTTCAGGATCATAAGAAAAACGACAAAAAGATGTCAATTTTTAAGGAAAATCTATAGTTTTTTTTTTTTTTATTGATTTAACTACAGCTGAAAAACTAACAACCATAGATACTTGAAATTTTAATCAAATATGTTTATTAGCATTTTATACACATGGTATGATTCTCAAAATATGTTTATTCTTTTTGAAATAGGTATTTATAGACATTTTTTTGTATAAATATGGGTAAAAAAGTTTTTACTCAACAAAAACATTTAAAAATGTAATACGAGGTTCCCATAAAATTAGTTTATACTGGAACCAATATTAATTTTAATATAAGATTGATTTTTTTTTATAGACGTTTGAATTATAAATTTGGACTAAATTTGGACTAAATTTGGTATTCGAACCAAGAATAATGATTTCAAATAATTTGTTGAAATTCAAAAATATTTTTTGTGGTGATTTGAAACTTTTACTATATATATACTATTATATCATCGTCAATGACAGGAAAAAATCACTTATGTGTCAAATTTATAATTTTGATTCATTATTGGCTGAAAGGCGATCTACACACAAATTAGTTTTTTGTAAGCAACGTTTTATCATTGAATTTAGATTTAACATATCAAATTCAGTGACMTACTAAATAACAAGGTACCTAACTTGATTACTACAATACAGCAATGCAGTTACCTACTTCCTTCACTTTTATTCTGATGATGGTGAGTCTATTAACGACTTCTGATATTTATAAATGGCAATCTAACTTTCATAATCTGAAACTAAATGGTATTCTAGAAATTTTGATGTATATAATAAATATCAAGTAATATTAAATGAAAAGTATTTCATTAATTTGTATATGGGTAGGTAGGTAGGAAGGTACTTAAAGTTTAGATGAGTGTCGCGGTACTCCCAAAAATGTGTGATCCACAATTCAAAGCATATAAGTATAACTGTCAAAATAATTAATATTTATAAATTATAATTTATAATTTATAAATATATAAATTTAAAAAAAAACTATTACTAAAAAGATATTTGTTTAATATTTTAATAATGTCTGCTTTAGAGAAACAGATTAAGTTTTAAAATATGGATTATAATTTAAAAAGTTTATAGTAAACTCAACGAAAAAATATAATAACACTGAAAAAATAAGTGCAATATATAACATTTGAGAACGTAAGATGTGTACATCTTCCAAAATGTAAAACAAAATATTTTACAAAATAAAGAGTGTTTAATATTTAAAAAACACTTAAATAGGCTGAGTACATATCCTTATAAGTCTATAGATAATCTATAATTGTGGTTATAATTAAATTTGACTTTATCATTATAGACCAAAATATATGCTCTACTATATTGAGTCATTGTTATATGGTTACATAGTACACAAAAATATATGGTTATACCGAGTAGGTACTAAAATAACTACTAGATAACTAATAATGATTAAAAAATACCTTTCTTTTACTATGAAAAAACAGACTAATTTAATAAAATTGAATTGCTAAAATTTTTAAACAATTAAATTATGATATATTACTATACACAAAATGTACAAAAGTAAATGGAAAATATAACTTAAAAGTTTGTGAAATAGGTCATTCTCACTTGTAATACACAGGTAATATCCTTCATTAAACGCAAAAATAAAATAATAAARGAAGTCAATAAGCATTTAAAAAAAATGTTATTAAATCATAAACAAAGCATGGACAAATAAAATCAGCCATTTTTAGTTCAACATTTAAAATAATTTAAATGTGTAATTTTTATTATGGTAAATAACAAAAATAAGGAGTTACCACGGTAAATACCAGAATATTATCCTGAATTTATAATTAAAATGAAAATTTATTTGCTGGCCATTAACTAACAATACTAATCAAATAATCTTTATCTGTAAGAGCTAAGATTTACACAATAGAAGTGTTGGAAAAAATGTATAATAATTAGCTTAGCATTCTTTGAAATGAATATACTTTGGTTAAATCAATTTTAAAATCTAAAAGAATGGTAATCCAGTCATTAAATACTATAAGAATAGGTTAATGATTTTTACCGAAGTTGATATCATATTATTGTTATTTAGCAAAACATGTTTAAAAAAATTACAAAAACTTACCTTGGAGTACGTAGAGTTACATTAGGAACAGTTTTACTTCGGATTACACGAGTATTCTTTACCGCCTCTGCACGTACAAAACGTACACTGAAATACCATAAATACAAATAAAAAAGGCTATATTGATTTTCATTAGAAGCTAATCTTATTAAACCATTAACCAGATTATATAAACTATTTGTTTTTTATTTGGATTTATATGGCTTCACTTACGGTATATGGCCTGTTAGTAGATTAGCTCTAGATAAAATTGACTTCACTTGGGCTGGTGACACATACTTCAATGATTCATTATTAACAGAAATTACTACATCGCCAATTTTTAGCCTGCGATCTCGTTCAGCTGCACCATATAAGTTTTCAATTTCCAAACCCATATGATCACTAAATGAACTTCTACGCAGATATATGCCCAATGGTGACGAGCCTTTAGTAAGTGTGATCTCTTGCACATCTTGTAAATTATCTGTCTCATCCATTGAAGATATTTGTTTAAAAGTCTCATCGGTTTTCTATTGATAATAACAAGTTTATGAGATTGGATTCAATTTATAATTTTCATACATTTGCAAAAAAATCAATGTTTGCCTAACATATCAAATAAAATGATAAGTAGTTTTTATTAATATTTTCTTTTTAAGTACTCTCAAGTTTTGGTATAAACTAAATGAGCTAGACAAATTTAAAACTTGCCTTTACATCATCAAAAATGATAGGTGATTCAGGGCAACTGTACATTGAATAGCACTCTTCATCATCATCTTCATCATTGATGCTCAATTTTTTTTCTTCTGAGCTATCATCCTAAAAAAATATAGAACTCAAGTATGGGCTTCTTCAATCATTTTATAGAGCCAATCTCATTTCATCTGATCTACGTTCACAGAGTAGATACTAAAATTGTACTTCAATTTCGATATATACCATTATTTCATTGAATTACTTTAACTGAATAACTTAAGAATTCAATATCGCAATTTACCGTGTCCAAACATATATCATGATGAAGTAATGATATATTGTTATGCGTAGAAGGAGAAAGAATTGTTAGGAAGGAGCAACAAAAACACAAATGCGCCATCCATGAGCCACATTGCCTCTTGGGTAAGATTAGTCCAACATTCGCACAATTTTTGAAAAACCTATGGCAATGTAACCACGGTTTTAGAGTATTTGTGTTTTTATCGACTTGTGCAAATAACAAAAACGCAGTTTTGTTTTCATTTTCTTCCAAAAGTTGCATTTAATAAAAATAAAAAACAATATAACAAAAGAAAGAAATCTTTATCTAAATAATTATACTAAACTTATAAAACTTAAAGAGAAATAAAAATGTACTAAATGTGTATAAGAGCGGCGACATGGACTGGCAGTTGTGTTTTTCGCTTCAACTACATTTAACTTTACTACGTAAATTTATAAGTATACTATATACATGTATATTATAATGTTTCTAAAAAGTTTGAAAACCCTCAATTTGAAATGAAGATCACATATGACATTTAAAAATTATATGTTTAGATTAATTTAGACAGAAAAGTGACATCTGTTATTATCATCGCAATGATCTTAATATGTGATCCCATCACAGAGGACTTATGAACTTTCTAGATACATAGTATACACATATGTGATACATATTAATATATAATGCAATCATATTTATAGAAATAACCAAACACCCGAAATTATAACTTAATATTAATATTGCATTAATGATTTAAAGAATACTTTGTTTGTAATAGTTTTTATCAATTAATAAGGCACATAAAATTAGTTTATGGAAATAAATAAAATAAAATTATTCAAGTGATATTATTATTAATAGTTTTTAAAGGCGAAGAAGAATGAAGAAGTGCAAGAGTGCTCATAGAACTATAAAGGACTTCTAATACATTAGTAATTAATAAAATACGCTTCATTGATATTTATAAATTCTATCTTCTTTCACAGTAAGCTCTATGATTTATCTCGTTACATTTCTTCATTTTGATCYGTATTTTATTAAATCATAAACAACTTGTAACTACCATTATTTTCTAACTACAACTAATTAGTGGTTATTTAAATAATAAAATAAAATAAAATGGACGGTTAAATTGTAACGATATTAGGATAAAGAACTTTTTTAGAAATAATAAATTGGTTCTTCTTATAATTTATAAGAAATGTTAAGGATAAAGAATGAAATATGTTATTTCTTAAAGAAAATATATATCGCCACAATCATTAAGGGAAAACATAATTGAGTCAGAAGCTCTCCGACTTGAGCAGATTAGACGCCAACTGTTGAACAGATGACTCCTGGTCGACATCATTGTAGAATTCGCCGCGACGTTGCGTGAAAGATTCATCTGCGCGTGCCTGATCTGAAGGTGAACTCACCTGACTGCTACTATCTGGTATGGGCAGTGGCTTGGCAACAGCAATATGGACTACTCCTTTGGGAGCACCCTTCAAAGCTTGCACAGCTTGATCTAATGATGCGTTTTCCAAACAAATATCATTTACGCGAAGTAAACGATCTCCGGGTATTAAGCGACCATCATTTTGAGCTACTCCACCAGGTACTAATGAACGAATCACAATCACTGTTTCACTTGGGTTCATGGGATCCTATGTAAGATAAAAATTTTATATTATTACAAGAAAAAAAATATCTTAATTAGATCATTTAATAATTACTTGATAATCTAAAATTGAAAATCCAAGGCCGCGTTCTCCTTTCATAAGCTCGATAAGTTGAGGCTGTGAAGACCACATAGCTAATCCAGTAAGAGGTTCAAGAGATCTAGAACGTAATCTACTAGATTCTGAACACCCTGCTGTTCCAGTACTAGCTAATGATCCATCTGATTTTGCTTTCACCAAACGATCAGTAGCAGGCATTAAATTTTGAAGACTACCGCCCAATGCATTCTATAAATAAATTTCAGATAAATATAGAAAGACTATTTTTAATTTTTTACTATATTCATACTTTAGCTGCAAAGGCAGCCCGATCTTCTGAAATGTCGGTAAGGTAATGGTGTGGCAATTGTTGTTCATCAGTGCGTCTAGCACAGATCATTCTGACATTAATAGGTAACTCTTTCAATATTGCTACTACCTCCATATGGTTTCTACCCAATAATCGGTGCCCATTTACTTCAAGCAACTCATCACCAGATTGAAGACTTGCATTTTTCCCCACAGGTCCTTCAGGTAAAACTGATCGTATGTAGTGATGTGGCCTCACTTCCATACCATTTTCTACATCTACAGTACCTTCCAGACTTATACCTAGACCTCCGCCTTCACTAAATTTCTTCAACTGACCTACCTAATATAAATAAAGACAAGCAATATAATTAATAAAAGCATTTTGAAGCTGTATTTGAAGCTATTAAACCTAAAAAAAATTATTTAATTTAACTTACAACAATTTCTACATCATTTCCAACAACATCGGTCCATTTATTTCTGATCTTTTTCAATGTTTCTGGCTTAAGCTCTCCATCAAAAGAAGTATTTTCAATAGAATCAGTTTCATCAACCATTTCATCTTCTACTTCACCAAGCATATCAGCCTCTACTGTTGCTCCTGATTCACCTTCTACTTCAATTTCTGCAGTGCTTTCTCCATCCTTCAATTACAAAATAGATTTTAAGTTAAATAATAATAAGTTTATTAATAAAAGCTAAAACCAAAACTTACAGTTATTGGAAATCTAGGCAAAGACATTATAGATGGTGACGCAGTTGCACTATTTGTGTTGGGCTTCATCTCCGATGCTGCTATGGCTACTTGTAGCTGTTCAAATTTMGGGCCCCGTAGGTAACGTTCTAAGCGTAATGTTACCATTTGTCCTGTAGATCTTAAAACTTCAACTGCCTCATGATTAGTAAATCCTTGCAATGAAGTTCCATCCACTTCAACGATACGGTCATTCACCTGAATTTTTTTGCATAGATCAGCTGCACTACCTTCACTGATGCTTTTCACAAATATACCAGATAATTCCTCTGTTTAAAAAAAAAAAATATTAATTAAAAAGAACAATAAGCATACTTAAAAGGATTTTAAAAAAAAACCAGTACATACCTTTTTCACAAACATACCCTGCTATAGTTATTCCTAAACCATGAGTATCTTTTTTTAATTGCACACTAAATGAATCAGTTTCTGGGAGAGTTGTAATACTATCTGGTGGTACCATATCCATTGTAAGAACAGGCAATGAGGCTGGTATATTATTATCATTGATTATCAAATTGTTTTCCTAGAGCGAAATTAATTAATAATTATGGCACTAAAGAAGATTAAATTATTTTTAAACATTTACATTCGTAATATTTTGGAAAAAATAATCAGGAGTATATGTAGCAACTTCTGGATACCCATGCTGAACTAAATGACGATCAAGCTCATCTGCATCTCCTAACATCTTTGTTGGTACAATTGGTGCTCTACAGCTTAAATTCTGTAAAAATATTAAAATATTATATTATTATGTAATGTTATTTAATACATATGACATAACATCAAGGTTATTGGCATAATAGCTATTAATTACTATAACAGAATAAGATAAAAGGTATCCCGTGAGCATTTACCCATTGCGATATCTTCTGAGATAATAAATATATCATAAATCTGTTTTTTTTATTAGACTCACATATACAAGGGCTTCATGTATTTTATTTTATTTTTTGGTAAAAAAATCAAAAAAATATTTTTTAATTTTTGAAAAAAATAAAGATGGWTATTTTATAAAATTTATTTTTCTGAAAATGTTGACCTTTCAACATTTTATTTTCATTAATTTCACGATTTTTAATAATTTTTTTAGTTTATAGATAAAATGGCAATAAACTGGTTTTTATTCGGGCGGCAAGTCCCCCCCCCCTACAGCTAATGGGTATATCTCCTCACAGGACACTCTGGTCACTCTGTATATAATTTTTCAGAATCATTAAGTTAAAAATTTTAAGTAAATATAATTTTGTTTTTGGTATTATAAACATTGTCATATTTTTTTTAATTATAAAGAAAAAGTATATAAGTTACAATTTAAAAAATAAATCAATAAATGCTGAGACTTTTAGGACCTATAAACTACTAATTATTTTAAATACAAAATTAATAATATATTTATTACATAAGCATTAAATGAAACAAGTAAAGAATACAATAGTTTTTTTTTAAAAAAAGGTCAAATTAATTCAATGTTAAAATAAACATTATCACTTACAAACTGAGAAAAAGTAAATAATCATTCATTTTAAAATTAAACTATTYAAAATACTTTACTTGGATTATATCAATTGCACTAGATTCTATTGGACGAGCTACAACCAATCTAACTTGACTCCCAGATTGTCGAAGCACAGCTGCAACTTGTTCACTCCCCATACCTCTTAAATTTACTTCGCCTATTTGTAGTATATGATCACCACTTTGTAATCTCCCATCCTAAGAATAATATTATTTATAAAGATATAAATACTAGTTGAAAATTATAATTATTTTTATACTCTATCAGCCACTCCTCCTGGAAGTATTGTCTTAACAACAACACCAGTGCTACGACCACCTATAATACCAAATCCTAATCCAGATCCATCATTGAGCAGCTCAATTACTTCAACTTGAGCCCATTCTGTGTTCAACTGTAATAATAATATTATATTTAATACATAAGTTTTAAAATAAATAAATGAATATAACACTATTTAAAATCATGAATCATTACAATAAAATTATTATTATTTATTACCTACTGTAATTTTTTAATYACACTCGACATGTTTTTAAACATAAAATTATAACAGAAATATATAAATTATGCAACAATTATTTTTACCATGTTACTGGAAGGTTGTGATGTTGGTAGAGGAGGTGGTGTAAGAGGGCGCGCTACGACCAACTGAACAAGCCCTCGAGCCTGTTGCAGTATTCCAATAGCTTGCTGGTGAGACACATTTGTGTCCAATGGTTGCCCATCGATAGCAATAATCTGGTCACCTTCATGAAGCCCTCCTTCTCTACATTTAAAAAAATACAATTCAAATAGTTTAATAAAAATGACTAAGTTAAATGCATATTGTTTTACAATATTTTATATTCATATTCATACACGAACAAATATATAAAAGTTCAAAATGTATATTTAGCTTTATTATAATATAACAAAGGATCAATAAATGCTCAAGTTAAGACTCTGAATTTTGCATAAAAATATAGTACACCTACCTAATAAATAAGTCATCATCTKAGTATTACTATTAGTATTCGTCCTTTACATCACATTTGTATCAAATAGGAATCAATAAATATTAGTATCTTTACTTCAATAAAAAACATTATTTAAATTATAAAAACTAAACCTTTTTGTTGATGGTGAATTAATCACTTTTTGAGTGTGTTAGATGCGCCCCGCAAAGATGGAGTTTATGAACTTTACATAATAAATGTGATTAGTTCAACATACAAAACAAATCACAGAAATATTATTCAATTAATTATTYATTTGTAAGCATAATGTATATTTATTATATGAATATAACCATCTCTTTGCAAGTGTCTCCAATAGAAAATTGTTATGCTTTTAACTAAAAATTGCTCAATTTTAACTATGAAACATAGTACCTATAGTACAAAAAAATTAGATATTACGAGGGGTTTTTTTTAGTTTTGACCAAGCCCAATATTTTTGGTATAGGTAGTATATTATACATAATGATATTTATTACTATAATAATTAAAAATATTTAAATTTTTTAACTGTATTTCATGACGTTCAACTATTTTAAATAACAAAAAAACATGAATAATTAACAATTGAAAAGTTATTTACAAAAATCAACCATTAAGTATAAATACAAAGTTAATATAAAATATAATGAAATGTAATGTAACTAACAAGTTGACATGATATTTGTATTTTTTAATGATTTATTAGGTTTTTCCAAGCATTTCACTAAAATTTAATTGAATTAGTTGATTTAAAACGATTATAATGTTGAATATAGATTAAAATATTAAATCACACTACGGATTGATAACGAGTATTCGGGAACAAAATAGGTAAAAAACAATAGTAAACCTAGGTATACCTCCTATTATAATTGTTGCATATTGGCTATTCGTATATTATAATTTCGCGGGCTGCAAGTAAGCTTTTTTGCCGCGACCTACCGCCTGCCGATGCGTCGAGAAGAGTCCGTCAACTGTGCACCATTTTTGTTTGTCGACGGTAAACGACGTACTCGTATTCGTCATTTTTCGAGTAATTTATATTATGGAGTGATAGAGTAGGTATACGACGGACGGGCGCGACCGCGAATTCCTAACGAGTAACCGCGTAGGCTCGGCGACGGTGTGTGGTGCTCGGTTCGAACATGGTAAACATCCCGCGGTATCGTTTTTGGGGAGTAAATAATAACGTCGACTCCGTCGGAGAGAAATTTAGTAAGCGCGACGAGCGTATCGAACCCGAACGCGAAAGCGTAATGACTGGCAGCAGTTACCTCGACTTACCGCGCGGCCAATCTCCGCCCCGCCTGTCCACCCTCTAGGGACCGCGCGCAACCGACTACCRACTACCGAGGGCCTGCGTCATGCGTGTGAAGTGTCTTTATATATTGCTAGTACCGCGGCGGGTCGGAGAGATCTATAAATACGCCGACGACGGCGGGCGCCCGGTGGTTCCTTCCATTTCGGTGCGCTACTACGCCAACGACCAACCCCCGTGTATAATAATAATTGAATAAATATATGCGATTATATAATAAATATTTATAACCTATGTAAGTTTGCGAATTACAATTACGACATTGTACTTTTTTTTTATTCGTATCGTCAACCGAAGCTTATTTTATTCCGTGGGTTCCGGGTTCAAATACCCACTTCGTCGCCAAACGGAACTCGAATATTTTACGCAGTTTAATATGGTTAATATTTTACGATTTTAATCAATTAATTATTAAATATGAAGTTTTATATGATACAATATTATAATACTATTCGAACACCTATTGTATTTTTTATTATTTAAACATCTTCTATAGCAAAAAWAAATAATTAATATTATTATAATATAAAACTCAACAATAGGTGAATAATATATTATCTGTTTATAAATAAAACAAAACACAGCAATTATGCAGGTTGTCGAATGTTGTCTAAAATATAATATTTCTATCTTGGCTTATATGTCATATAACTCATAAACATACATTTGGCATTTTTCCTAAGCAATAATAACAAGAAAAACAAGCTATAACCAATGTCACCTTAGATATTTTTATTTATTTATCTTAAGAATRCTGAATATATATTATTCTATAAATTACTACTAAGCTAGTAGTATTAAATATATATATATTCCAACTAAAGCAATACAATATTAATAATAAAATAAAATAACTAATATTATAGTACAAATAGTAATTAAATTAAACTCATATGAAGTAAACAAAATTTTTAGAWATTTTAAGTAAAATATTTTTATTGATTTTAACTATTATTTGTGAGAAAAAAATCCTTGGACATTTCAATGAATTATTTACTGTTTATTTTTACCAAGTTTACTTTATAATATTATCATTTCTAGTATTTTAATTACAGTTCCATCAATCATGATAATATGAAAATATGATAATTATAAATTTAAAATGTATACTAATCAGGGTTGAAATTGATGCCAAAACTAGTGTTAATGTAGCTAGTTGATTTTGAAGAGATTCTATATCCATCATATTATTATTTTTGCTATAATTCTTCATTCCCCATGGTAACCTAAATGCCAATATAATTTTTATGTTTTCTTATGTTTCCAAAAGTAAATTATAATTCTTGACAAGACATAGAAGCAAAGTTTTATTTAAATTAAATTAAAATAATAATAYAATTTTTTTTTTWAATTTATTTGAATAAAATTTGAGATGACTGAAATGTCATTGAAATATTTATTGTAAAATTATCAAGAAATAATTAATTTTTTAAATCTAATCCTCTAAATCTAACATAAAAGTAAATAAAAKAATAATAATAAAAAAAAAATAGAATACAGTCTGCAAAGTGCATATTATCATTCAACTAGAACCGTTACTTCTTTTGTACATAATTTTTTTTCTTTATTTACACAGAACATTGAAAACAATTCAACCATTCAAACCATATGTTGTATTCTTTAAACCAATGAAAGTTTAAGAAGATACCACATTTGTATGTGTTGTCTGTGTCTAAAAAACACACATAGCAAAAGCTGTTTTGCACAATTCAACTTAACTACCTCTTATCAATAGTAGTGACTAAAATTTCAAAAAGCATATTGTGGAGAATTTTTTTTTTTGATAATGCTAACCAGTAACTTTTAACAATAAGATTTGAAAAACACAACTTATGTTCTCAAACTGATACCTTTGATTGTATTTATGCTATTCAAATAATAAAAAYACTACGATACAGATACAGTACTGCCCTATGCATTGTGAAATTTTGGTAATTTTTTTATAAATACTGAGAGAGTAAAATTGTCCAATAAAATACTCTTTTTGCTATGTTATATGTTTTTAAGATAGAAACAAAACATGCAGGAGCAGTCTCTTTTTAAGGAATACAGCATAATATGGTGTGAATGGTTGAATAATTTTCAATTGAGTGGGAATTTTTCAATTAATTTTTGAATTTTGATTGAATACTAAAATACCCATCTGAGTTGTTAACTATCTCAATATGTATTTCATTACACATTTTTTATTTAAATAGTAATTTGTTATTCTTGAAAAATATTTGTATAAATTATTTTAACTTATTAATGAAAGCTAAAGAAAAATGGTCTTATGTTCAAATGTTAAATGGCTTTCAGATAATTTTGAATTTAGACATAACCAAACATGATATTAATAGGTATTATTAAAAATACAAATTTTAGTGTGCAAGCTTATACAATGAAATTTAACAATATTAAATGTTCTTATAAATGTGTATTTTTAATTTTCATTCTAGCTAGTCAAAAAAGGCCAAACTCCAATTTAATGAAATGCAGCCAAGATTTTTTTTAATACAACAAATTAGGTTAAGTCAATCATTTCTTTAAAAATACTTGCAAAATAATGAATTTATATATTTTATTTTTAACTATAAGCATAGAATAAAACAATGTATTTCATTCTAAGAGTTATTATAGTTCTGAACAAAGAACACATTTCAAATTACTTTTAAATAATAAAGAATTTAACAGTTATTGTTAAATCATTTGGTAACCAGTCAATAACTCAAAAGTATATTCAAATTTTCACCCAAATTAAACTATATCTTTAAGTAAAATATATTTTTAACATTCATTAAGTTCAGATTTTAGTCAGAATCTTTAAATGTCTTTACAATCTATAGTTCTTACTAAAAAAAATCATAGTTTTTAGATAATTATAAAAAAAATTACCGTGCWGCAATTCCATTTTGTTGAATTTCTTGGACAAATATTCCAAGTTCTCCYTTTTCTTCACTTCTTAAGCCAACTACACTAAAACCCAAACTGCAGCCTTCTGGCTTGAATAGCTAAAACAATTTACATTACTATAAATTATAATGTTTAAAAGTAAAAAATAATCAAACATTAGATATTTTAAGAAATACAAACAATTAGATTCTTTTAGATTCTGAACAAAATTAAGAATGTAWTGGTTTATTTTTATTTTTTATGAGTATTTTTATTTGAAAACTTGTGTTTGAATTAATTAAAGGAGATGTTATGTGTTACCCYAACATTTGTTTTCTCTTACTTACAAGAGCGAAACATATCAAATTCTTCAGCAGATTGCTTTTAGCCCAGTTAATTTAAAATTTTTGATTAAATAAACCTCTTTTAAAATCTAAAGKTTAGATTATTATATAGGCAATGTCATAGGATTTTATTTAATTTTAATTTTAAAGTGAGTTAACAGAATTTAATATGCATAAGCAATTTACAGTTTTAAAATACTTTAATAGAAATTTATTACCCTTCATTAATCTACCAAAACAAGTTTAATTTGTCAATTCAATGGGATAATTTATTAAATAACACTTATTTCAAAAACTATTGAAGTACCTATTAACACTTTTATAAATATTTTTTAAACATAATTTAATGTCATTATATCATCTACTTTACTTATTTACATGACAATACACATTTATAATTTGATATTCAAAGCAGAATACTTTCTTACAGTATTTATTCAAGTAAAAATTTAATTTTAAACAATTAGTTCATTAGTTATAATCTATAGATATAGTTTAGACAAATGGAGTGAAACAGGTATTTGGTCCATTACTCTGTTGATTCAGACTTATAATACTTATAAAGTTATAACTAATCAACTACCTATTCAAATATTTTATTGAAAAACTATAGAAAAAATTCAGCATCAGAATATAAAATCGTAAATGTATACTGTGATGAGAAAAAAAATAATAATTATATAATTTTTATCAATAATAATTAAGTAAAATTATTGTTCAAACAGTTAAACAGTTAAACAAATTACTGTTTTACAATAAATTGATTATCATACTTACAAATTAATATCAGAATGATATAACTTAAATATTTGAAATCAAAATAAGACATGAATCATATACCATATAACATATGATTATGTTTAAATTATAATTTAATAAACATTTGTTAATATTAAACATACTTGAACATTATGTATTTTACGTCCTCTAGATGCTTCTTCTACTGCTTTTTGAAATTCAACTGCATACGATGGTGTTGTTATTGGTGGTAAAGTAGTGGATATATCTTTTATTAATGATTTACTCTCCTTAAATATAAAATATAATKTATTAGTTAACTTTTCCATGATGATATGAAAATACTTATTACAACTAATTTTAAATATAAAAAAATATAAATTTATTATTCTCAACCAAACAATAAAATATTTGTAAAAGACTTTTGTACACTATATTTAAATTCAGAAACAAAAATCTGCTGTAAAGCCAGATAGCAGAGAAATCGGACACTAAGTTTGATTTTTAACTCAAATAGAGAAGTTAATACATTTTACAAATGTGCTTATTCCCATCGCACGTTTACGATTGTTGTTACCTTCAYTTTTACATGCAATGTTTACAGATTGTATTTGTACTGTATCATTTTATTAAACCATTAAATAATCCAAGGTTTGATTTTAAAAATATTTCTTTTTCATCCAGATATTAMACAACTTGTTTCATATTTATGTATGAATATATATTATAATTATTTCTATATAGAATTCATATWWGAAAAAAAAACTTRATTATTGATAATCTTTTGTAATTGTAAATTAGTTTATAAGTAAAAAAAATTGTATAGATTTATCTAATATTTTTTACCAGAAAATTAACTTTTACTATCAGCAATATTTTTCTAACTATTAATGTGCTGCAGAGTGCTTCCATAAGACATCCAAGAACAATATTATAACAGTTAGATTTATAAGCCCTATACTTTAACACAACTTTACACTAAATTGATTTTAAAAGAACAAAACCCTTAACTAGTAATATAACGAATTCTATCAATACTAATTAGATAATGCCAHTAWAAAATATTCAMAATTTTTAGATTTTTGGCTAAAAAACTAAATTTGTTCCTCAACCAACAATCATTAGTAAATGTATTGCAAAGAAGGTAAAATGTTCTCAATCATATTTCACTCTAGCATTAAAATTTTTAGGCACAGGGTRATCCATTTAAATGGGTACACTAATTATCTTCAAAATTATGAACTTTTAAGTTTATGTTTTTCTAAAGCCACCAATCATCAATAAATAAATGAAAAAAATTAAAATATTATACGGTTTAAAAAAAAACATAAACCTAAAAGTAAAAAAAAAAGTTAATACTTTTCAAGATAACTAGTGTACCCCCTTAAATGGATCATCCTGTACAAATTGAAATTAATGTGTACTTTAAATGTATAAGTTAATTAAAATAATCAAAATTAACAAACAATCAAAAAATCACACCTTTGATGAAGGAGAAGAACTTTCTGTAGATGAACTATTTGAAAGTTTAGGAACTCTTTGATCTAAATCTTCTGGTACACTATTATAAAGAGTAGACTCTGATGGCAAACTCAATACTAATTGACCAGTAACAGGTGATATATCAAAATCAACTGGTAATAATGACGGATGTTCTTGAAGTTGACAACTCAATTCAGATACAGAATCCTATAATAAATTATAAAGATAAATTAATAAACCTGACATAGAAATTAATATTTTACCTGAACAGATGCAATAGTTTTTATAATCGGGTTTTGAAAAACTGATATCAGGAGTTGAAGATCGTTATTAGTATTTGCTTTTAATTTATCATCACCTGATTCATTGACCAAGGATTTTATTTCGGTCAAAATAGATAATGCAGCAGACATATCTGTACAACAAAAAAAGTAATTAAAAAAGTAAGTAAAGTATAAAATATTATACATTAGAGATATATTGCTACACTATTTAGGAAGGTTTATAATATTTAATATATATTTGTTAAATATTTTATTAATTATAATTTACAATCCATACTTGATTGTAAAATAAAAATTATCAAATATTKCATTTATATTACCTGTGTAAAGAGACATTTTAGTAAAATGATCGGTTTTTTCTTTATAATTTATGTAATTTATATTATGTAATCCTGTAAAACAAAATATAATTAGTTATTTATATTATAATATATTATTTAAAATAATGTGAATGTATGGATTAAAAATATAAATACACACTTAAATATTTTTAAAAATGATCTAGAAGTTACCAAAAGTTTATTTTTGTATTATTATCATATCTGCTTGACTGTATATATTGTCTTATAAAAGCACAACATACCAAATTTGTGTTTAACACAAACAATTTTGATATTTAAGTAAATTGACCTTAAAGCAAACACATTATCTGTGTTTGTAGTTTTTTTTTTTTTAGATTATAATTTATAAGTGAATTATGTGAATTTTTTATCGTTATATTTTATATGCTCATTTCTTTTAAAAATTGAAATATTGTAAAGAAAATCTTTACAAACACAGATAACTGTCTTACCTTAAAGTTGGATTATAGATAAATATCTAATAAGTAATCTAGGCTAATAAGTAATAACACAAAATTGGTTCCACCGATCATGGCTCTTACTCATAAGTCTGACCAGACATATAACCGGCAAGATAGTCATACATAACATATTAACAAACACACACACATATATATATATATATATATAATATATATTCATATTTGCCACTAAATTGTAAAAATTTATTTCAAAAGTATACCTACCTACTAAGATTATTGCTTAAATATTATGATGATATTGAATATTAAGGGGAGAAAGTTTGCAGAGTAGTCAAATGCCTAACCTGACAACCTCATATGAACGCTTATGCTCTCACTCTCAAACACTACTCATAGTAAATCTATGTTGTATGTTTATGCGACAGAGATAAGTGCAGATGCRGTGTCGCTTTAAGATATTAGATATCAATAAGTACCTATGATTGTACATTACAGACTATATTGCCTACAATTTGGTGTTCCATAGTTTTAATATTTTCACTACATATTCTATAAAATAGAAATACACAACTTTTTACTTACCCACTAATTTATTGATTTAGTAATCATCATTGGTAATAGCAGATTTAAAATGTACATTAGAGCAACTGTTTTTGATTCATTTGAATCGACCAAATGTGTTATTAGGTTCAAAATTCAGTAGTGTCCAATTATATTAACTTCAATTCACATACAATTTAATGAATTGTATAAAAATGTACTACCTCAAACGGAACGCAAGTTTAATTTCCTAAACGATAACAATGGCAGAGGAAATTGGAATGAATAAAATATGTATTCAAATGACGAATTGACGACACTTACGATTTGTAAATAAATAATAATTAGGTACTATGTTAAAAATTAATAAATATGCTGTACATCAATTAAATACGTCATTCATGTATATAAATATTATGATAATCATTAATTCACTAATCTGTATTCTGATTTCTGTTCGAAGGTTTGACTGTTTTTGTTATGATAAAACGAAGATGCACCAAGCGCAAAAGAATTTGTATGAATCTACAGTGTGGCCAAATTATGTTTAAATTTTTCAAAAACGATTAATATCTTCTTGGATCATGGTTTTTTGTCACAGTTTTTGTACTATATAATAGGTATATAGTATAATATGAAAAAGTGTTTTTTTGTACATGAGACATGACATTTTATTATTACAAACACATATTATARGAATTCAATAGGTGCACGCGACACACCCGCACGTCTTATTATAGATCGTAGATACAAAGCAGATAAAATTATTGTTCTGTGATAAAATGCATGCCTCATAGTTCAAAATATTTGTATTTTGTGTGCAACACGCGCCGCGGTCTTGGTCGCAACGTAGAAGTACACCTTCATTATAAACATGGTTTTATAAAYCCAYAATTCTATTGCCAAATCATGATTGTTACCTATAAGTTATAAGCCATATAGTTATAATATTTTAAACCGGAGATCAAAAATGTTGTTTCATTGTTTATTGATTTTAAACAAATAATTTTAATTTTGCATTTTGTATAATAATAATATTGCATGTAATAGGTACTTATTTACAGTTTTTCCTTGTCATTATATGCATACAAATATATTTTATATATTAACTAATTATTAGTTATCGACGATTCGTGTCGTAAATATCAAGCCCATTCTGATTTCAAAATGTTATGTTATTCAACAAYAATAATACGTTTCACGGCTTAGAAAATACACAATTTTTTCTTTATAATATTTTTAGATTTATAACATATAGTTTTAAATTTAGTTTTAGCATTTATAAATATTAAATAAACATGCCTTTAGCTTATAGGGAGATACCTACCTAATCGTTTTATCTATATTATATTATTATAATATTATATATAAAAAAACAATCAAATCACATACAATGACCAGTGAATGACCTCTATAAATCTATAGGTATTTTCGTATTTTATCTAGATCCTAGAACGCATCAGCTCATTATATTTTATTTTAGATTCGAACCATAATACTATACCCATTACCCACAGCATGACTATGGTTATACCTATACATAATACATAAATATCATATAGTATAGCTGCAAGGACCAACCATCATTGACACAGGTGGTTGGGAGAATGGAAGTTATAAGCCCTTCCCCTCTTAGAACAAGAAAGTATAAGTATAAGTATGTAAACGTATTTACATGTATTTAATCATTTAAACATTAAAWCTATATACCTARTAGGTATTACCTACTATATACAACTGTTATAGTAACATATTTTTAATACTTTTTTATTATGACGAATATTATAATAAATAATAAATTTTAATAGGTAGGCGTAAATTAAAATTAAATACAATTTTATGTACCAACTTATTGTTTAAAAAAATTACAAAACGGGGAGATCACTAATTTGTGCTTGAATATCATGTAGTACAATACTAATACTGTACATAACTACATACGAGCATTAAAATGAGCACCGTTTATACCCATTTATAAGTTAGTGATCTGAAGTTTCGTGTAATCTTCTCCTCGTAATTTGTTTGATTTTTGCTTAAAAATTTAAGTCCACTTACATTAAGCTTATTATTTTTAAATAATGATAAATTAATTTTTGTTTTGGTGATTTAAATTTTAAACTTTAAAGAATTTAGATTAAAAAATGTCTGCAGTTTTGTAAATTAATATATTTTTTTTTTAATGTACCTACACAAAATATTTTTTATATATACTTAGGTAAATCCCTATATGCCTCTAAATAATTATAATCTATGGTCTATGAGTATCCATATGAATAAAATATAATATATATTATATTACTAATGAGTAATTATTCACTGGAAAAACTAGAAAATCTATTTTTGTTCTATTACACTTGGTATTGACGCGTTGTATGTTGTGTCTTGTGTCGTCGTGTAACATGTCCTGAAACTGCTTACGTGAACTAATAGACACGATTTACATACAATGTTGCAGAGGGGGGGGCTCGTATTTATAAACAATTTGTAAGTACTTGCCACTTATGATTTTGCATACATCACACCACCTCGGTACCAAACGGTTTATTATTATTTTTATTTCCAATAAGGCGATAATCGTCAATAAATTATTTTCGTGTTAGTATGTTATAGAATATAGAACTACAATTGTATACACTTATTTAATTATTGAAAATGAAAATGGAGCTGCCTTCGTTATTTAAATAAAATTAARATTGTACATAAATTCTTAAAAGTTATAAAATAAAATTATAAGGAATTGTATATATTTTTTACCAATTAAATGTAGTTGACTGTAAACAAAATTACTAATAAATTTCCAATACATTAGTTTTTCTGTTTACACTTTCTCAAAATCCACGCTATGCCACTGAATCATTGGGATAACTGTATTGATATTTGTACAGATGGGGCGAAGACAATGGTTGAAAAAACTACTGGCGTGGTTTCGCAAATTTTAGAAGTAACAAATAATTGTAGGAATATTCATTGAATTCTTCATCGTCAAGCACTCGTTATTAAAAATATGCCAATACCTCATAAAAATGTACTTGTTAGGGAGTGAAGATTATAAATTTCGTAAAATGTACTTGTTAGGGAGTGAAGATTATAAATTTCGTAAAATGTCGACCATTCAGCACAAGACTGTTCACAATTTTGTGTCAAGATATTTATATGTGGGAAGTATGCACAAAACACTACTTTATCATACCGAAGTAATAAGATGGCTTTCCCGAGGAAAAACACTTATATACGCTTACTTGAATAATTACGAAATTAATTGTACGTTTTTTTACCGATCACCTATTTAATTTACAGTTCAGACTAACTGATAAAATTTGGTTATTTCGAATTAGTTACCTTAGTGAATACAAAAACTGTTTAATATGGTCATCTATTTAATTTACAGCTCAGACTTACTGATAAAATTTGGTTATTTTGACTTAGTTACTATAGGCTGATATTTTCACAAAATTAAATGAAGTGAATTTATCAATGCAAGGTAAAATTACCACAGTTTTCACGGAAAATGACAAAATCCGAGCTTTTAAAAAAAATTAAATTTTGAGCTGTGTATGTTTTTCTCAACATGAAATTGATAGTTTTCCTTTATTAAAGGAATATTTAGAATCGATTGATGGTAATATTGAATAAGAATTTGATGAAATATATGGCGAAATTAAACAACGTTTAAATTAAATACTATATCGTCATTAAAAAAATATTTTCCAGAAAGTAAAGATAAAGAATTTATCCAATGATATAATTGGGTTAAAAATCCGCTTTTAATCAACGATAAGCCTGAAGTTTTGTCTATAACGGAGTATGAAGAATATATTGAAATKACCCAGATTCATCTTTAAAAACTTTATTTGATGAAATATTATTAACAGATTTTTGGTGCAATAGCAGTATTACTAACGGATATCAATCTCTGGCTAAAAAGCTATCTTACCACTCCTTCCTTTCGCAACAACATATCTGTGTGAAACCAGATTTTCATCATATGCATCAACGAAAACCAAATATCGCAATAAATTAGATTCTGAAGCAAACAACTCCCGTCTATCAAGCCAAATATTAAAATACTGGCCAATAAAAAAAGCCAACATCAGGGCTCACATTAATTTCAAATTTTATAAATATTAAAATTTATAAATTACTAAAATATTATGTTGTTTTTTCTTATTAAATTAATTAAATAATATTTATTTATTCGTATTCTACAGAAAAGAAATCAAAATCAAATCATTTATAATTTACATCATTTTTTATTAATTATTGTTGTATCAAATAGACATTTCTGATTTTCGGAGCTCCATAACTTTTTTAGAAACATAAGGGCTCCGCAAACAAAAAAGTTTGAGAACCGCTGTTGTAATGAGTATAATTATTAATTACTATATGTATATAGTAATAGTATATTAGGCAATGAAGCTAATAGTAGTACCTATATTCGAAAAATCTTAGATTGTAGATTGAATCCTATATAATATGTAGTAAAAGAATAATTAATTCATCCTAAAAAAGTTTGAGAACCGCTGTTGTAATGAGTATAATTATTAATTACTATATGTATATAGTAATAGTATATTAGGCAATGAAGCTAATAGTAGTACCTATATTCGAAAAATCTTAGATTGTAGATTGAATCCTATATAATATGTAGTAAAAGAAAATGTTTAACAGCTCAGAATCGTTTTTTAGGATGAATTAATTATTCTTTTTTTAAAATTCAATTAAATTATGTTGAGTATCTTAGGTAAAATATAGGTTAGGTGATTTTTTTTAGAAGGCCCCCTTTTTTATTGCATAACCAGCGAATAGTCTGCTGACGCCTATGATATTATATTCCAATTCTGTATGGAGCTGCAATCAGTGCAGTTTTTATATTTTTTTTAAAAATAATTATACTATTAACTAATAAGTAATAATTTGATCTCCAATATTTATGGTTTATTTCCACTTTCCTCCAATTTTATATTATTATTGAGAACAAACAATAGGTGCAATTTCTGGCAATTAAAAAAAAAATACATCATCAAATATTTCTCATTAATATATAACTAAATTATATTATATATAAATATTAAAAAAAAACTTTTTACAGATTTTCATTATGCAATATAAGATATAATATAGGTACCTAATAAAACATAATATAATAGATCGTAAATTTTATAGTTTTGAACCGGATGAAAAATAATTTAAAAAATAAGTTATGATAGATATTAAATTAGATAGTAGTATAGTACAGATAAATTATAATCTATAAAGCTAATATAGATACAAAATATGCATACCTGT